GTCAAGCTTTGCACAGCGCTGACATAGCTGGTTCTGAGCTCAGCGAATTTTTTTGTTTGAGATGTTAGTGGCTGTTGGAGTTAAGGAAGCGCTGTAGTGTAAAGGTCACTTAGGTCAACATTCGCAGTTTTCTTTTGCCGCTTTATGAGACCATCTCTTCCCAGTGCAAGGGAAATGCTACCTGTGGGAATCCTCTCTGCTCTGCTGAGCTCGGACATGACGAGAAGGAGGAGATCTTGGTAAAAGGTAAACCGTCTATAACAAAGACAAAAAGAATTCTTTTGATGGAGCAATTGATGGTAGCCTGATGTTGTCCAAAGCTATGGATGAAGAGAAAGGAGGGTGAGAGCACAGGTGCTGGGTCAGTAACGAGGCTGAGGGAATTGTGGCCGAGCCAAATAATGAAAATTTATTGGTGGAGTTTTCTAAAATGTAGCAGGAATCACAGTGTGCGCAACTGTCGCTTACAGCGGACATCTGTGCCTGCTAAATAAAGCAGGCACTATTAGCCTTCTTTAGACAGCAGTCTCACCTAGTACGGTAAGGCAGAGTTGAATACTGCCTTGTGAATAAGATCTTAGACCTAAATACGTCTCATTGCAGTCACATACGACCATAGCCTGAGGGAAATTGGGCTATCTACTCAGCTTTCAGCGCATTAATATCGCTATGCTCAAAAGGCATCGCAGAATTCGTATTCAGTACACTTTTAAATGATTTCCGCCTGACGGAGTGGCTCGTCTCTTATGTCACAGAATCGAGACCCAAGATCCCGGATCATTGTCTTTAAAAAGATCAGATAGGCTTAAAACGCTTTAATGATTAATGTGAGAATAGGTGAGCCAATCAGAAGAGAGGAAGCGCAGTGGTTGAACACCACGTCATTAAAGACAAAGTAGATTGCTTGCTTGCTTGAGAAAAGAGCCATAAGGGCTCTTCGGTAGTTATATACGAAAGGGGGTTGACAGTGGGTCTCGTACACCCCCTTGATTCTGCCGTATTCTATAGCTATTTACAGTAGTGATTTACCATCCTGAAGGCCCTCCCTTTCTGAGTCTGACTTTTGCTATTCTCTCTGGCATAGTATCTACGAATTTATTAATTAATTCGATAGAAATCTCGTTCTCCCAGATATCTAGAATTGCTGCCTTCAAATCCTCTAAAGTCCAGCCCCCATGGGGATTTCGATTGCGTAGCTTTTGCTTTAGAACTCTCCAAATATTCTTAATCGGATTCAAATCTGGCGAGCAAGGAGGCCAATCGATTGAGTATATATAGCATTCTAAGAGTACAGCATTACAAAGCCCGTGATTTTGCTTTGTATTAGTTTTCCCATGAACCCTACTATTATCTTCCACGCAAAAGAAGTCTCCCGATTCCTCAAATATCTCCTTTAACGGACCTCTTAAGATCTGATCAGCGTACTTCCGTTGATTGAAACCTCTACCTTCTCCTTCATATAAACAGAAGTATATCTTCGATTTATAGCCGTACCCGATTATAGCCCATGCTATCACTAATTTATGACCCGAACGAAATGTGAATTGGATACAATCAAGTCTCCTTCTCTCCCCTCGTTTTCGGAGGACTTTTCGTCTACGAAGAATATCCGTTCGAGTGATTGTTTCGTCTGTAAATCGTCCTCGTCGCCAGTATTCTTTGGATCGGTCCCAATTTGCAATCGAGAAGCTCTAACGCTTAAGCTTATTTACTTTTGAGATAAAAGGCTTACAATCGGGAACGTGATAGTGATAGCCGTGACGTTCGAAGGCTTGAAGGAGGGTTCTGTCTGTGCAATCAAGGTGGAATTGCTCACGGATTCGACTAAGAGGAAGAGTCCTTCGATTATAATGGCCTGTAAACCACTTGATTATTTCTTGAATCTGCTCTTCAGAAATCTTCGGGAGCGTACTAGGAGGCTTTGCTTGTCGATCGGGTTTATTGAGAAAATATTGTGCTAAAGACGCCGGAATTTGAAGCTTTCGAGCAGCTCCACGAATTGAGTAGCCTTCATCTAAAAGGGTTTTGAATCGCACTCGAGTTGGTGTTTCGTGTGTCCAAGGCATTTTGATGATGCTTATCAAATTAGTACTACACAGTCATTAAATCAATTGAGGGGGCATAGGTTCTACGAGCTTCGATGATTCTCACCGCCTTACAAGGGTGTACGAGACCCACTGTCAACCCCCTTTCGTACAATGTGAATATGTCGTGACTATGTGTTGCCAAATAGTCAGCAAATCTTGGACCGAGCTACGGCGCGTGTGGTGGGTTAATTTTGCGAGCTGGGTATGAACTGATGACTTCGTTACAGGAGTCCCTAGGCTGGCTGGCAATCCTTTCCGAAACATTTCTAATGTTGTTGATTGTCGACATTCCCATCCTAGCTGTCTATTACCAAAATGCAGTACTCTTCGAGCTAGAAAACGTTCTTGGAAAACCCAACCTCGACTGCTGAGAGGAGCGTTTGAGATTTCATCCGTCCATATATCTCCATCCAACAAATAGAATTTCTTTAGTTTGCCTTCAACCCTGAGCACAATCTCGGATGGGCCGAATGGCTCATATCCTTGATTATGGAAAAGCGTTTCACTACCGTCGACAGCTAATGTAGCAGAAATATTGAGGAACGCATTCGCATACACTTTGCCCATGGTTAGAGCCTCGATCCCCCAGTCCGTGCGGTCGTCTGGATCCTGCTTGATACATAGACCATCAATCCAGAGATACTGAGTGTCTAAGGAAGCTGCAATCTTGATAGCATTCTGAAATGCAGGGGGAAGATCAGGAACCGCAATGGCCTTTTGGAGTTGCGCTATGGTGGATGTCAGGAGTTTCGTATATTGACTTGCCCCCCAGCGATGGCTTAATGTCATATAATGACCTTTTGGAGCATGATCTTGGGAGATGACCAGTCTGACCTGCTGGCCACCGGAAGTGATGTGCAGAAGCCTAGTGGGATACCAATTCTCCTTTTTTTTCGTTGTATTGCCTGTGGCTTTTACAGCACGCGTCGACCCACTCTTTGACTAGTGAGAAGTTATATGTGCCAGGTGATGGAATTGTGTGCTTAGCATCACTCCAGATCGCGAAGTCTAGGCTAACATTAGCCAAGACAAGAGCTTCAACATGACCTCCGATCAACAATACCTTTAGGTGGCATAAGTGCTAGATCAAGCAGGTAGAATTCGTCGTCGTCGGAGTATTTGTCATCCAATCAAATGCCTACAAACAGACGGGCGGGAAAGTTGGCCTGTTTCGAGAGCACAATATGGGCATGGTGGAAGAATTTTACACCCAATGGTTTTGTTTTCCAGTCGTCGCAGAGACTGGGATACTCGAATTTCAACCATTCCAAGAACTTGAGACATACCCAACAGCTCCGCATATCGAGTTGCGTAAGAATCGGAAGGCGGACCTTTACGTCTTGGGTGAGACGTGTATCAAGGTCTTGCGGATAGACTTCTTCTATCGCCCTGGTACACCTTCGACAGAGTGGCATTTCTCTAATACAGTGGTAGTCAGACCTTGCGAGGTTGATGATTGATGATGTCTAACACCAACTAGACTAGAGGTACGCGCTTCAGCGTGGTTGCGGAGAAGCTAAGCTTTGTAATCAGATAGGCTAGCCCCAGCTAGTTTGCCAAGACTTTTATGAGTTCCTTCTGGGCCGCAGCATTTCAAGAGCCGCTCCTTGGCCTGCTTCCACAACTCTGACTCCTGACATTAGCCGGTGGTGGTACTTCGCCCTAGTCTCTGAAGTCAGCTCTGCCATAATTGCGCCCCGCTGAATGATTAAAAGCAATCATAACAATTGTATTCTAATATATCATATCATGTTGCTGCGCAGGGCATTTTTAGCATTTGCACAGAGCTTAGCTTTCCCAGACGATAGTGTGATTTATTCAATACAAGACATACGGAGGTACGGCTGGTATGTTTTGTCCCCTGTTTTTGTGGACTCCTCGCAGCTTTCCCTATAAGAGTAGTAACTACTCGGCGCCGTGGCTTGTGTGTACCAAAGTCACTGCTTGTTTACAACCCGATCAAGTAAAGCACTCAACTGCCAGGGCCTCCTGCCAAAAACAGTGGACAAAACATATCAGCTGTGCCTCCGTATGCTTTTCAATAGGCAGAATCTCAAGGCTTTACAGAATCTCTGCTATCGTATAATTTTTATGCGGAGTGAATAGCTCTCGCGGCTTTTGTCATGCAACCAGTAATTAATAGATCAAGTCTACCAACTGCAGGGTATATCCTGTTAAGTGCGATAAACGCCCCCTTCTTCAACGCACTCCCCCGTAGCGCAGGCTCTAAGCCTCCTTAAGCTTGAGATTATTCGGCTCGGGCCACCTGAACTTACATCCTAGACCTCAGAACTCGCAGCTGTGGGCTGTGCGCCTAAGCTTCAGCAGTGGTATTGGCTCTTTTTTTTTTTCGGCAGCGGTCAATTCCTCATAAAGCAGCACTGATTAGGATCGCGACTTCAGCCTCGGTCACTGAAACCTGACCAGAAGCTAAGAAGATTTGGGATCCTGTCCGCTCTATGATATAAGTACATATATCATGCACTGTCTATCACATACGACCACAGACTGAGGAGAATTGGGCATCCCGTCCGCTCTGCCATACACAAGCCTCAGATCGGTAGATCAGTAGTTGGGTGGGTGACCACCAGCGAATCCCTACTGTTGTATGTTTTTTGCCTTGTTTTGCTGCTTTCCTTGGAAAAGTTGAAAATAATGCATGGATGGTTATCGAAGGTGCTTTGAGTTGGAAACTTCCTATTAAGAAATAAGAGCGAGAAAGGAAGAAGGAAAGCTTTGTAATCAGGATGTCAACAAGTATGGCGCAGTAGTAAATATGGATATCTTGAACCTCCATGAATAGGGGAATTTCCCCTCACATCAACTAGTGCATATTTTTTTCCTTCTTTTTCTACACCTCACTATTGGGTTTGTGTATTGAAACAAGAGCATTTCTCATATCAAATCATCCAATCCGGAATGGTGTAGTGGCTAGCATTTCTGCCTCTCATAAATATATAAAAGTGGTCGCAGGAGACCGGGGTTCAATTCCCCGTTCCGGAATAAACACATCTTAACTTTTCTTTTTGCATCCTTGCACTTTATCCATCATTTCCAACGCTCTGGACATTATATTTTGCTTTCTCTCTCATTTTGAGTTCCTTTCCATAATGTACCTTTTCTTTTTTTAGCGGCGAGTGGGGCTAGAAAATCTCGAAGCAGAAATTTGCGCCGACTTTTGCCCGGGACAACCTTGCGAAGTTATCCCGCATAAGACCCTGAATGACAAGGCATATGTCAAAACAAAATAAAAAGGCTTCCGGGCAGGAGGGATTTAATACGATAAAAGTTCAAGAAGAAGAGAACTAGAGAAGTTAATGTTTCTGTTCCAGCCTGAAACGTAGCATACATCCATCCGGTAGTACAAGTGCTTCCCTTTTCAAGTTTAGACACTATTCAAAACCCCTCGCATCCTTCAATCTTCCAGACCCAGGTTATTCGACGACATAACATCTTCCAAACTGCCCATTCTTTCAATCCTACCCTCCTTGATCCAAGCCATAGCATTCGAACTACCCGGAGAAGGTACACTTAGTCTATGCGAAATAGCAATAACCGTATGACCCCGCTCTGTGAACTCTTTGCGTATTACATCTTGCATGATGGAATCTGTCTCTGGGTCGAGCGACGACGTAGCTTCATCTAATAGCAGGATTCGTTTTGGCTGGGCTGAGGAAGTTGATGGCGATGTCTGATCAGAGTAAGTTGTTTCTAATTGAGTACGAAGGATTGCACGAGCTAGAGATAGGAGTTGCATCTGTCCGGAGGACAGTATGGGGAAAGCCGAGAGTTGTAAATCCAGCGGATTCAAGTTTTTGATGTATGAATCGTTAATGTCATGAAGTGGCGAGTCACGGCCATGTTGGTCTTTCCAGTGAATGGAGAAGTGTCCCCAGAGATGCGTCTTCTCCAGAGCAGCGATGATGATATCGTCTGATAAAGTCTCCGAAGCGTCGATGTTGAAGCGGAGACTGGCATCGACAAATACAAATGGGTCTTGAGGTACAGTGATGAAGCACTGCTGGCGCAGGATTGATCGAGGAACTTGCGAGATGTCGATTCCATCGATCTTGATCGAACCGTTTTGGCAATCGAGTAAGTGGAGGAGGGTTAGGAGAATGGTGCTCTTTCCACTGAAGTGGATAACAAATCAGTCATGAGGTCCGACAAATAATTTGAGGAATGTTGGATTGAAATTATGCTTACCTGCCGGTCCTTCCACATATGAGGAGCTTTTGGCCAGCTGGAATTTTCATGCTGATACACCTGAGAGCAACGGCATTCGAACTTTTGCAATCAGCGCTCAACGACCCCCACACCGAGTTTACCTCAGGATTCTGAACTTACTTGTATGACACGGTGACGTTCTCAACCTCAATCAACCCCGATGATGGCCAGCTGGCCGGAGGGACAGAAGTCTCCCAAAGCTTGTCCTCCTGAGGCGTCTCACTTACCGTGGACCTCAATCGCGAAATAGCGCCAAGAGAAATCTCGAGAGAAGTCCAATTCTCCACAAGTTTAAGCAGAGTCGAATTGGCGACGAGAATCAAGTTCAGAGCAACACCAACTTCCGCACCAGTGGTCGTACCGCGAAGATAAACGGCAAGGCCAATGACGCATGTTGCTATACTAGCTATGATAAGATCCAAGACGATATTGAGCCATCTCTGGAGACAGAGGAGAATGTAGAAGGGTTTTTGGGATTCGTCCATGCGCCGAACGTTTTCTTGTTCGAATTCGCGCTGCCAGCCGAATGCTCGGATTGTTGCTGTGCCCTCCACCTATCACTTGTCAGATACTAGATAATCTTCAACAGCGGGGTGTAACTTACGGTTTCGAGGAAGCTCGAATATACCGCAGATCTGGACTCGAGCTCAATGAAACGGAGTTGTCTAGAAGTCCGCAGGTATAATCTTTGCACGACGTACACGATTGCCGAGCAAAAAGGCAGAGTCAATATCAGGATCTTCTGCAAGCTGAACAACAGAGCTGCTTGCATCGAAAGCTTGAAAACTTCTGTTAAGGATTAGAATTGAGCACTGGAATTCGAGAGAGGAGACTTGCGAACGAAGATTGACTGAAGTGCTGATGGTAATTGCTTGTCAACTAGCTGGATGTCTTGCCCGAACCTCCACCAAATGTTAGCGCAGAACTTGTGTGCTTAGATTGATGATTATTACCGATTGAGTATGACACCAATGTCTGTCTCCGAGAAGTATGAAAGTGGTGCCCTGTTACACCTGTCAGTACGTTGGAACGATCAGGAATTTTGCTAATTGGAGCTGGTAGCGGACCCTATGATGGCTGACAAAAGTCGATCGTGAAGCACAGCTCCTGATTTTGTGGCAATGACGATATCGGTGGCCCTTTTACTGTCAGTATAGGTAAAATATGGATGTTTTACCCGAATTCCTACCATGCCTGGCAACTTGTAGCCAACCATGCTATAAATGCGATGATGAGGTATCCTCCCATATAGAACCAGGTTTGGTTGAGTCGTGACTCTGTCCACCATTTCAACCAGAATTGGGAGAACGTCAAGAAGAACGAGTACAGGGCAGCGAAGCACATTAAAAGTACCACATTAGACATCCCAACAGATTTGAAGTAATAACCTTGAATTCCTTTTAGTATATCATCATTCTCATGCACCCGAGTTGGATGGCTCTTACCGTAGAGGGCGAAGTCCCCTGTTTTTCTTGTCAAGTCTTCAGCTGCGTCTTCAGTCGATCTCACCTGAGCTTTAAGCTTGACCATATCTCTGTCAGATGGGATATCTTGTCGGGCTTCTGCCTCGGTCATCTGAATCTTGGCAATTTGATTCAGGTCACCTTTCAACTCCTCCCATGTGCCCCGCGTTTGGATCGTCGAGTCTCCGAGAACGATGACTTCATCTGCTAGATGGAAGTATTGCGCTTCAAGATGTTAACCGACCGAGCAAAAAACGACTTAACCGATTTCAGCCTACTTACAGGAATTAGTAACCATGAAAACAGTCGTTCCCATTTTCTTCAAAATCCCTTGGGGACCAAGTAAACTCTCCACAACATGCCCCTCAGTCTTGCCATCAAGAGCACTAAATGGATCATCGAGGACCACAACGTCACATCGTGCATAGATAGCTCTGGCAAGGGCCTTGGAAGCTTGTTAGCATATTCTTGTATGGGAAGAAACTCACCGAGACTCACTAGCCGCTGTCGTTGACCCCCGGATAAGTTCAATCCTCGACTTCCAATCTGGGTTGAGTCCCCGTCTGGCAGATTCTCAATGTCCGTACGAAGGCCACACACATCTATGACTGTTTCGTACCATTGAATGTTCTCGTCAAGGAATGTAGAACTGTCACGTATCACCTCCTTGATTGATCCGCTTGGTAGCCATGGAACTTGCGAACACAAGGCAACACGTTTCGTAGAAATGGAAACCCGACCACTCGATGGACGGAATTCCCCTAGAACAGCTTTGGCCAAAGTTGTCTTCCCTGTTCCGACTCGCCCGGCACACATGACTAAGGCTCCCCTTTCTATCTTGAGGTTGATACCCTGGAGAATGGGATTGGATTTGGAGTTTGGCTGAATCGTGACGTTTTCGAGAAGTACTGCTGGCAGTCTTGCGTGATCGCTTGAAACGGAACTCACTCTGGGCGGTCAGTCGCGCTTGGGAGGGGAAGTCTCTGATCATTCCTGGAGGATTCCAGCAAATAATTTTGAATACGCTCGAAGTTGGCCATAGATGCGATTGCTCTGGGTATGATTGTCATCACCATATTGGCAGGATGAGTAACCATGGCCAGCAAAGCGGTCGTGGTGAACACAGTCTCCGTGTCAAGCCCACGCCCGTACTTGTTCATGACCAGAATGGCTGAGAGCACTAATGTTACAACTGGAGCAAATATTCCCAAGGCATTGGCTGAAAGATGCAATTAGCTCAGTGGTGACGAGGTGTTTAGGGAGATCTCACCGCTGGCATTGTAGGCTACCATCATCCACCTCAGCTTTTTCGACGTCTGGATCTCTTCATTCCTGAGTGCGGTAATCTTTGACTTCATAGATTCGGTCAGACCAAGCATCTTCATACTCTTGGTAGAACTGAGCATCGAGGTTATCATTGCGAGTCGCCTCTGCGTGGCAATATTCCACGCCTTCTGCCTACTTTGGAGATGTTTCGCCACATACCGACTCATTCGAGAGCAGACTTAAATGTCAGCTATGTTCATTCGAAGCCACCAATCACGCCCAGAAACTCACGGAATATAATGAAAAGTGGCACGGGAGACAACCACCCAATCTGCCTGGCCAGCAAAGCCGTACCGATCAAAACTTCAAGAAATTGTGCCCATGTCTCATGAAACATCGCTCCCGCCGAGTCGATACTTTCCACATCGGTATTCAGCAGCGTGACAGCGTTCCCATCCTCGTGCTTCCCACTTTCAACTTCAAGAGAGCGGTGGTATATCAAACCGACAAGCGAGCCTCTGATGATTACTTTTAATCTATTCAGACGATGTTGGTAAACCGCGGTGGAGATCTTGGTCGCCCATCAGCATGCTTCAAACATTCTGGATAGGAAAGTTTACCGCCAGACCAAGATAAACAGTCAGTGCAGCGAGCACCAACCAGTAGCCGTCACCTCGATCATCACCAGGTCTTCTGACAAACCGAATAGTAAGACTGATAAGCACTGTTTGCGAATATCGAAACACGATGAGGGAGAGGCGAGGTAAGATAGCAGCCATGAAAGGCGTTGATAGACACCGGAGTAGGACCAAAGGAAGCGTACTCCTACTTTCTGGCTTAACTGCAAACTGTCAGCGGTGCAATGAGATGTTTGATACGGAGTGGGAGAGATGAATATCTACCTCTCCGATCCCATGCCAACAGAATATTTTTTCTCAAAGATTCCGAAGAGAGTTTTCCATCCACAGCTGGAAGGTCGGCATGGTTGAGAATCTTCCCATTGCCCTTCACCAAAACAGGATTGATCCAACTAAAAAATGTTCTGCC